ATACACGGCTGTGCTCTTTCCATATGCAGGCCATGACCCTGAACGGGGAAAGGACTATTTTTTTAACAAATGCTGTTGTGGGAACTGGACATTCACTGGCTAATGCAAAATAGAGCCAGGAACGACATAGAAGAGCTGAAGAGAAAAGCATTCCCACAAAGCATCCCTATGTGGAAATAATTTCTTAGATATGATGAAATGTATGAGCAGATGAATAAAGAGGGAATTTAATGAGAGAAGTGAAAAAGATGGGACTGAATAGATGAAGGAATGAAGGGAGGGACAGACAGAAGGAGAGAACATACCCATGTGAGAGGACTAAGCTCAGGTGTCCCCAGTCCACACTGTGGACCCCGGAGCTGTGCTGGGTGCTCCCCACGTGGTCCTGGGATCTTCATAACCCAAAGACCAGGAGAGAGCACTGTGTGCTGTGGACGTGCAGCTCAGAGAGGAGCTCCAGCCCTGCCTTCCCTTCCCAGCCTCCTGTTCCACACATGGAATCGCTGGACTGCCACCTGCTATCCACGTTCACATAATATCATCTTTGTTTCTGATGGTGGAAGGATGGTTTCCTGCTTTGTCCTGTGTCCTGCTGGAGGAATCACAGCGTTAGTGGTGATACTGCTGGCTTCTGATCAAACCTGCATCTGAGCTGCACTCCATGACTTATGGCTCTTAACTCAAAGAAGTTTTGGGGTCCTGACTGATCTGACAATATCACTCTTTGTGCTGCACCCCAGTCTTGTCACTGAATGGTTACCATGGTGGGCGATTTATAGGACCCTGTTCTCCATCCTCCTAGACCTGGGCTCTGTCCACTTGGCTCCTTGTTGTGAGAGGAGGACCTTCTCATCATCCACAGAGAATACATGGAGTCATTCCTCTGGGAAGGGAAGGAGCATACCCAGGACTAGGGTAGGGTGGGAAAGACGGTGGGTGGTGGGAGGCAAGGACCTCTCCCTGCTCCCCACTTAGCTTCAGTCTCCACAGAGATGGAGTTTATCCCTAAGGTCACTAGGGGGTGAGGAGATGACCTTTGGTGAAATTGTCACTTTACCATTTGGTGTCAGTCCTCTGTGGTCACTGGTCTGTGAGGTCCCAGCATCTCCCTCCCTCCAGCTCTCTTTCAGCAGACATCAAGTGAGCTCTAGGCAGGAGGGACAAGGAGCTGATTTCTTTGAAGGTCCTTCTCCCCCTAATAGGTTGTAGGCATGAAAAGGCCCACGGACACCAAGTCCCACTGAGGAGCCTAAGGATGCGGAGCACTCACAAGTGTCAGTTTGAAGTCTTATATTTAGATCTTTGATCTATTCTGAGTTAAAATTTGTTGATGGTGAGAGTTAAGGGTCCAATTTTATCTTTTTGAAGGTGGATACCCAGTTTTTCCAGCACCATTTCCTACGGGGAGGAGGGCAGGTAATGGGGAAGGGTGAGAGGGAGGGAATCAAGGAAAAGAAAAAAGAAGCAAAATATTTAAGAGACCCAAAATGGAAAGAAATCTGTTGATTATAATGTGTGTGGTAATGTTTTTGATTGGACCAATATGTCATGTATTTATGATGGGAAAAATTTATTTGGTATGCTATGATACACAGTGATCACATTTGATTTTATGTGTGTGTGTGTGTGTGTGTGTGCGTGTGTGTGTATTGTAAGGGAAAAAAATAGAAAAAATACACACCCCATCCCGTATCTCCTGAATCAGTCATTGATTTCTAAGCATCTGTAACAAGATCTCCAGGAGATTTTCATGACTATTTTCATGACAGAAGGGACTTTGCTTTGATCACTGTGAAAGTACTCCTGGGGGTTTCTGTTTAACATGCAGGTCACAGACATGAACCAATCCCTCCCACACTTCCATTCAACCTTCCAAAAATACTCAGCAATGAATTTAAAACCTCAAGTCGGTGCTGAGAACTGTGACTTGATGTTTAACTGCATCACATCGGCAGGAATAATTTCCACAAACCTGAGTTCCTAAAGGTAAACTCCATGCCTGGTGGAAGTGTCTCTGTGAGGGTGATCATCTCCTGTAGGACTGGCTTCCAGAAACCCTCCCCCACCTGCCAAGCTGACTCCCAGGACATTAGATGACAGTATCTTTCAGTGTTTCTCTCCAGATGAGGTTTTGGAAATGGAAGTTGAACTGATTCACTATGTTACAAAATAAGTTTTTATCAAAATTCACTGAACTAACATGTTTATGAAAAACTAAACATTATATAGGGAACCCTCCTACACTGTTGGTGGGAATGTAAACTAGTTCAACCACTGTGGAGAACAATATGGAGGTTCCTCAAAGATCTACAAATAGAACTACCATTTGATCCAGCAATCCCACTTCTGGGTATTTACACGAAAGGCAGGAGAACACTCAATCAGAAAAGTGCTTGTACATCAATGTTTATTGCAGCATTATTCACAATTGCCAAGACATGGAACCAACCTAAATGTCCACAAACTGATGAATGGATGGGAAAACTGTGGTATATATACTCTATGGAATACTACCCAGTTATAAAAAATAACAAGACCCTGGCATTTGATAAAAAGTGGTCAGATATGGAGGATCTATTGCTGAGTGAAGTAAGCCAGGCTATGAAAAAAAGATGTTGTATGTATCCACTCAATATATACCGACTATCCGCACTCTATGGTAGAGAGCGAAAAATTGGAGGACATAAAAGCAGTGAAGGTATTTAACGAGAATAGGACAGTGTGGAATGGGGGAGGTGAAGAGAAGAGGATAGAGAAAGATAGCAAGAGAACAATAGAGAGGTAGGATGGTAGTGAGAATCAGATATGGCTTATTACCTGTTGATGAGGACATGTATAGTATTCTCAACTGGATTGGTCTGAAAAGTATTTCATGATGTGTAAAGTCTTTTTACAAGCAAAATGAGAAAAAGCGATTGACTGTTTTAAAAAATAACTAGAATAATAATAATAATAATAATTGGGAAAGACATAGAAATATATTGAATGATAAAGTGGGGAGATTAATATCTCTGTATTGACTGACATGCATGACATTCCCTTTTGAAAAAGCAATGTAATATACTGTAAAGTTATATGTAATCCAATGTAATATAAAGAAGATTATGATGATAATAAAAATTTAAAAAATTTAAAAAACCTAAACATTATAGTTTGTTCCACTTCTACCATGTTATTAAACTGGGATGGAAAGTTATAACCTGGTGGAAATTCAGGCTGAGGAAGCATTTTGGCACCTTAGGCTCTGGCTGACACCTTCCCAACACCAGACACTCAACTGTCTCCTTAGTTACACCTGCCCTGAAGGCACGTGTGCTCCAATGTTTATTACATATTCTATACGTCAGTGGAGGAAGGGTAGAGAGAAGGGGGAAAGGAGAGGTTGACCACTAGGTGTCACAATAGAGTCAGACAGGAAGGAAAAATCTCAAGGTTGAAGGCCCAGGATGGTGAATATATTCTTTTTTTCCTTTAACACTTGCTTTCTGTATTTTTTTTTAAAGAGGTATTTGCTGTAGGGCATGTGTGCTCACCAGACAGACAGAGAGAGACAGAGAGACAGAAAGTGAGAACCCATCTCCCCAAGGGAGATAGCCACGCCACAATCCCTTCTCCTCCATTCTCCTCTCAGGATCTTGGGCATGCACACGCACGCGCCCAGTGTGAGTTTTAAGCCACCAGGTCTGGGACACGAACCATGGTCTACTACATGGGAGTCCAGCGACATAGCCATTACGCTAACTGCTGGTCCCCTGTAATTTTTTTTATTGCAATGACACACACACAAAAATCACTCCTCATAAGACAGAACCCATACCAACTCAAGGATAAAATAAATAATCTAAGTGTGGTAAGACCATCACGTATTGCTAAAAGGTTCATTTTCCTCAGTGAATATGAAAGTTTGCCTACCCTGTTTGACTTCATTATGGGACTTGCTTCTGTTCTTGTGTGCTAATTTTTAAAAGTTTTAAATTATTATTATTTATACATTTAATCACTATACATCATTTAGATTCTAAAGAGACTTCACACAGCATGATATACACCTCAGTCCAGCCCAGGTGAGAATACTACACATGTCCTCATCAACAGATAATAACCCTTATCTGTGTCCCACAAATGTCTTTCCTCTCCATTTTCCCCTCCCAAATTTTATATTCTACACTCTTCCCCTCCCACTCTTTCCACTTTGTCTCTAGTGTCCATAATAATTTTCAATGCTTTTGTGTCCTCCAGTCTTTCAGTCTCTACACTTCAGACTGGCTACAGGCAAACATTCTGGATGTTCTTCCTCCAAGAAGTAGCACATGGTCGCCCTCCCTGCCGGGCACACAGGCAACACCACTGATGGGAGAGTGGAGCTGCATGGGATTCCAGGTTTAGTCCCTGCAAACCTGGAATCCTGCCCACACTTGCTTCCTGGCTATCAGGGAGGCTGTGGAGAAGATCACCACAGCAAGATCAGTCAGAAATACCTCTGTCTGTCTCTCTTGCTGCCCATGTCACTCTCTCTCTCTTCTACTCATAAATAAAAAATAAAAGTGAAGAAGTACATATTAAATATTTAAGGTGACAGTTATGCTAAACACCTTGACTTCGTTATTCAATGCACACAGGTGTTGAAGAATCACATTGTATCATGTAACAAGTATAATTTAATACAAGAGAAATAAAAGGAGCTGTGTTTGGGGCTGGCCCTGATCTCCCTTATGGGGACACAGTAGCTGTGTCTTCTTTGACTGGCTGAGCGCCCTGAGCAAGGCCCTCTGTGCTGTCCCAGCAGGTACTTCCTCCCAAGGCTCCCCAAGGGATGGAGCCAAACTTTTTCTCTTGCAGTCTGCAGTGTGAGATAAGCCCCAGCCTAGGGCTCAGGGAGGGGCTGGGCAGTCACTCCATGGTCACACATTTGCATGAAGAGTCCCTCCTGTGGCAGAGAGAGGGAAGAAAAGGGAGTCTGGGGCAGCTCAGCCATGTGGGGACCAGGGGCTATGTCCACCATGGTCTGGACTCCTCTCCTTCTCATGCTCCCCTCTCATTGCACAGGTAGGGGTGGTACTTGGGGAGATAGGGCAGTCCATAGCCTGCTTTAGTCTCTTCTGGCTGACATTTCTGAGAACCATCATCCTCTCCCCTGCTTCATTATTCATGAGTGTCTGTATCTGCAGGTTCCCACTCCCAGCCTGTGCTGACTCAACCACCCTCCCTCTCCGCCTCTCCTGGAGCATCTGCCAGATTCACCTGCACCCTGAGCAGTGATTTCAGTGTTGGTGACTACTGGATAAAATGGTACCAGCAGAATCCTGAGAGCCCGCCTTGGTTTCTCCTGAACTACTACTCAGAGTCAAATAAGCAGCAAGGATCCAGACTCCCCAGTCACTTCTCTGGATCCAAGGACACCTTGGCCAGTGCAGGTGTTCTACACATCGCTGGGCTGCAGCCTGTGGACGAGGCTGACTATTTCTGTGCTATAGCACATAGTAATGTTTATCACAGTGACACAGGCTGTGGGGGAAGTGGAACAAAATCTTCACAGACCACAGGTGATGGTCTCTTACTCTGCTGATGTTAAATTTCATTTACTGATACTGTTACTAAGAGAAGTTCTCTTATTTCTATCAGTACTTTTCCAAATACTAAAAAATTTCTCCCTTGAAGATCCCCTGATCTTGACTTTGCAAATGCTGATTTAGTTGCCCCAAGCCAGGCAAGCTCTGACTGACATAGATCAACAGAAACACACCAGGGACAAAGTCACAGGAAGGGACTTGACTAGGGAGACTGGGAAATAAAGTGCATTTGAGGAAGGAGGGTCTCATGGCCAAAATGAGGACCAGCAGCCCAAATATGGGGGCATTGCTGTCACAGTCTGTGTCTCTGCTCTTCACCCTCCTCACTCAATGGTCACCAAGGCCTTTAGGAGCAAATGAAAGGAGAGGGATGGACATTTCTCACCCTTCCTCCTAGCATGAGGCACCACAAAGGGATCTCACCTTCCTACTTTCTCCTGACAACCAGGACCACATCAGACTCTAAGAGCTTTTCCATCCTCCACTGAGAGAGAGACTAGTGATCTGTGTATAAGAAGTTCCACTGATATACCTGAATATATACAGTCATACATATACATATATGGACACATACATACAGATAACTTTCCTGTGATCAAACACAGAACAAAAGACCCAATCAGTGGCATCATAAAGGAGTGACACCAAACATAAAAGCAAAAAGATTTACAAAGAATCAAAATAAGTGACTCAGGGCCTGCCACATAGCATAGAGGTTAAGCACTGTGATTGGGAACCAGATTCAACATGGGAGCCCATGGTTCAAATTCCCATCATGACAGCTCAATAAAGAGGTATATTTTGTGTGTGTGTGCTTGTCAAAGATCTTGATGGATTGGAAAACAGAGAGTAAAAGATTTTGGTATGACCATGTCCTATTGCGGTTGCTTTCTCTCTCTCTCTTTCTCTGTCTCTGTTTCTCTCTCTCTCTCCACCACACACCTTTCCTATTAAAATACATAAATAAATAGCTCAAAGCTCAAACTCATTTCTGATTACAGAAAAATTATAAAATAAAGGAACAAAAATCATATTCATTGTGAAATGTATTAGTCTGTCCCATTTTTGCCATAATTTTAAACATTCTTTGGCATATCATTAAGTAGTAGCTAAGTTCATTGGATAACATTCCACTTGACACCAGGCAGGAGTTAAGCTGAAAAAAGCACCTCTGACATGTCTCTAGCTGGTTATAACCAGGTAATGGAAGGAATGAGGACAGGAGAAAACAAGGAGGCAACTCTTCCAGTAAGAGCCTTGAGCTCTCAGTGCTTGTCCTAACATACTGAGGGAGGGGAAGATGACCTTCTGGATATGCTGCCATGGGGCTTGTGGATGCAGTGTCCCATGGTGGGCACATTGGCCCTCAGGGATGAGAAGTTCAGACCAGAGAATGTATCTTTCTGGGTCAAGCAACATCTCCCAGTAGCCACCAGGGGCGCTGCTCTCTCCTCTCTGGTGCATCCTGCCTTGAGGTGGATTCCTGGAGCCCTAGTAATTTCCTCCCTATTCAGTTGAACTTTCCTCCAGTAATCATGAGTAATGGTGCACGTACTATATTAAATGAATTGTAACCCTTGATATGAGGAATTGCATTTTTTTTGTAGAGGTTTTCACTACAAGACACGTGTGTTCGCTAGAAAGACAGAGACATAGTTTCCCTCCACCATCAACATCCTATAGAAGAGTGGCATATTTGTTACAAATGATGACAGCTCTTGACATATATTTACCGCTCAAAGTTCATAGTTCATATTAGGGTTCACTGTTAGTTTCATACTTTCTCTAAGTTTAGACTAATTATAATGGCATATACCCATTGTTATATTATTATACAAAGTAATTTCACTTCTCTGAAAATTCTCTCTGCTATTCTATTTATTGCTCCATTTCCTATAACCTCTTTCAGTACCTGATCTTTTCACTGATTTCATAGTTTTGCCTTTTCCAGAGTATCATAAAGTTGGAATCATACAGTGTACAAGGTTTTCTGATTACTTAGTAATGTGCTTATAAGTTTCTTCCATGTCTTTTGTAATTTTTTTCATTTATTTGTTTATTTTTACATTTTTCCACATTTACTTTACCTATCAAAAAAATTTTGCTCATACTCCATAGTTCTTGACAGTTAATAAACAACTTTCAAACAAATGAAAGGAGAGGGATGGACATTTCTCACCCTTCCTCCTAGCATGAGGCACCACAAAGGGATCTCACCTTCCTACTTTCTCCTGACAACCAGGACCACATCAGACTCTAAGAGCTTTTCCATCCTCCACTGAGAGAGAGACTAGTGATCTGTGTATAAGAAGTTCCACTGATATACCTGAATATATACAGTCATACATATACATATATGGACACATACATACAGATAACTTTCCTGTGATCAAACACAGAACAAAAGACCCAATCAGTGGCATCATAAAGGAGTGACACCAAACATAAAAGCAAAAAGATTTACAAAGAATCAAAATAAGTGACTCAGGGCCTGCCACATAGCATAGAGGTTAAGCACTGTGATTGGGAACCAGATTCAACATGGGAGCCCATGGTTCAAATTCCCATCATGACAGCTCAATAAAGAGGTATATTTTGTGTGTGTGTGCTTGTCAAAGATCTTGATGGATTGGAAAACAGAGAGTAAAAGATTTTGGTATGACCATGTCCTATTGCGGTTGCTTTCTCTCTCTCTCTTTCTCTGTCTCTGTTTCTCTCTCTCTCTCCACCACACACCTTTCCTATTAAAATACATAAATAAATAGCTCAAAGCTCAAACTCATTTCTGATTACAGAAAAATTATAAAATAAAGGAACAAAAATCATATTCATTGTGAAATGTATTAGTCTGTCCCATTTTTGCCATAATTTTAAACATTCTTTGGCATATCATTAAGTAGTAGCTAAGTTCATTGGATAACATTCCACTTGACACCAGGCAGGAGTTAAGCTGAAAAAAGCACCTCTGACATGTCTCTAGCTGGTTATAACCAGGTAATGGAAGGAATGAGGACAGGAGAAAACAAGGAGGCAACTCTTCCAGTAAGAGCCTTGAGCTCTCAGTGCTTGTCCTAACATACTGAGGGAGGGGAAGATGACCTTCTGGATATGCTGCCATGGGGCTTGTGGATGCAGTGTCCCATGGTGGGCACATTGGCCCTCAGGGATGAGAAGTTCAGACCAGAGAATGTATCTTTCTGGGTCAAGCAACATCTCCCAGTAGCCACCAGGGGCGCTGCTCTCTCCTCTCTGGTGCATCCTGCCTTGAGGTGGATTCCTGTAGCCCTAGGAATTTCTTCCCTATCCAGTTGAACTTTCCTCCAGTAATCATGAGTAATGGTGCACGTACTATATTAAATGAATTGTAACCCTTGATGTGGGAATTGCATTTTTTTTTTGTAGAGGTTTTCACTACAGGACACGTGTGCTCTCCAGAAAGACAGAGACATAGTTTCCCTCCACCATCAACATCCTATAGAAGAGTGGCATATTTGTTACAAATGATGACAGCTCTTGACATATATTTACCGCTCAAAGTTCATAGTTCATATTAGG